GTGTATATTGATGATATTCTTATTTTTTCAAAAAATTTAGAACAACATTTCAAGCATATTCATACATTCATACATGTTATTAAGAAAAATGGTTTAGTAGTTTCTGCTAAAAAGATTGTCTTATTTCAAACAAAAATTCGTTTTCTTGGTTATATTATTCAAAATTCTTCAATTACTCCAATTCAAAAAAGTCTTGATTTCACTGATAAATGCTCAGATGAAATGAAAGATAAAACAAGTTTGCAACGCTTTTTAGTTTGTGTCAATTATGTGGCCGATTTTATTAAAGACATTCGTCAAATCTGTGCCCCATTATTCAAAAGACTATAAAATGACCTTGACCCATGGAATGATGCATGTACATATGCGGTTCAAAAGGTGAAAAAGTTGGTCAAAAATATTTCCTGTCTTTCAATACTTGATACCACTGCCTCAATTATTGTCGAAACAGATGCCTCAAACATAGGATTCGTTGGAGTGCTTAAACAGATCCCACTAAAGTCATCTCAAGAACAGTTAGTCAGATTTCATAGTGGAGTCTGGTCTGGTCCTCAAAAGAATTATTCTACTATCAAAAAAGAAATTTTTTCAATAGTTATTTGTATTTCAAAATTTCAAGATGATTTGATCAATAAAAAATTTATTTTAAAAACTGATTGTAAAGTCTCAAAAGATGTTTTACAAAAAGACGTAAAAAATCTTGTTTCAAAACAAATCTTTGCAAGGTGGCAGGCAATTTTGTCCTGTTTTGATTTCAAAATTCTTTATATTCAAGGAAAATCAAACTTTTTGGCAGATTTCCTCACAAGAGAGTTCATTTAAAAGAGTGAAAATGAGTAGTTGGGCTAAGCAAGTTGAAGAAGAGGATCAAAATCATTTTCAAACAAAAACTTCAAGAAAGAAGAAAAGTTCAATTCCTTTTTTTGAAGATCCCTTAAAGGATCAAAAAGAAGTTTCATCTTCTTCAAATTCTCTTTCTACTTTTGTTAAAAAACCTGATCAAAAACTCAAACAAAAAGTCGAATCATCAAACCCTTCAAACTACAAAAAAACTGTTCAAAGTACCGGAAAACTTCCTCAAATCAATCCTCCAAATACTTTCAAATATTTTACCAAGAATATTTTCGAAACTGTCCTTGATATGGAAACTTCTTGGCTCAATAGATACAAAGGTCTTAATGAATGCCTTTTAAGTATCTTACCTCAAAATTTTTGGTTTATGCCTTCAAATATTCAAAAATCTAGAGAATATTATGATAATATCCTTCATTTGACTGGATCAGTCATAATTTCTCATACTCTTGAACCAAAAGACAAATCAAATGTTATGTTTTCAAAAATCAGTATTACAAGAGTTTTGTCCCATGAAGACTGGGGACAAAATCTTTGGGAAGAAAAGAGACTTCGTCTCTCAAAAACTTTTTTCACAATTCAAGAAACTTTCAATTATTTTGATTATCAGAATGCTTGGTATAAAGTCTTTCTCTTTAGACCCATTACCCATTTTTGGTTCATTCTTTTTAATCAAAATTGCAATCCTTATTTTCCAAGTTGATTTCAAACATGGTTCCTGTATTATGGACTTGAAGAGCAAATTTTGATCAGTCTCTCTCTTCAAGGATATGAATACTTCAAGAATGAAGCAAAACATTTTCTCAAGTTTCAAGAAAATCTTTTGTTTAAATTCACATTCAATATGAAAGTTTCCTGGATTTTTTGTTGGGATTTCTTTCAATATCAAAATCTGAAAGATGATTACTCTTATCAAAAAATTACAAGATACAAGATCAAATGGTGGGCAAAGTTCAAAGAAACAAATTGCTGTCCTAAAACAGTTCAATCATGGATTCAAGAACAAAGAAATTTAGGTGTACCTAAATTCTCAAAAAAGGAACAAGAAAGTCAAGCTGATTTCTTGACTGAAAAACAAAGGATCATTTCAATGTTATCAAAATGTAAAGATCCAAAAGAATTATTAGAAATTTATGAACAAATTTTTAAACAAGGATCTTCAAAATCAAAAGAATCAGATGATGACGATCAAGAATCTCAATTTTCTCAAGAAATCGATAATGGTGATGACCTTGTTGATTTAGGTTATGACTACGAAGAGTTTCTTGCTCAAGAAAAGGTTTCAAAGAAAGCTTCAAACAAATGACTACATGGACCCAATTTTCTTTACGATTTGAGAAATTCAAGGGTCTACCGATCAAGAGAAATTCTCCTCAATCTTTGTTAAATTCAAAATCAATGGTTCAAGATTTGTCAAGATTCCAATCAAATCTGTGGAAAACATCAATCTCTACTTTAATAAAGAAAAGTGTCTCTTTTCAAGAGTTGGAAACTTTTTTCAAAAGATGACTCTACTTTTCAAGATGTTTCATGATAATGTCATCCACTCCTCTTTTCAAGATTCTTTCTCTCAAATGAAGGAAGTTTCAAGTCCGGACTACATTATAAGATGACCTGAAGACCTCAGTTCAAGGGCAGAGCGAATTCATCACGAAGAAGTTTTACTTTTCTTTGTAATTTGTTCTCTCAAATTATTTTTCATTTTCAAGAATCTTTGTAATTTTATTCTTCTTCAATAAAATTCTCTATTTTCATAAATCTTTGTTCTTTTATCTCCATCCCTAATCCCCTGGGTCTTTAATGGTATCAATATATATATATATATATATATACACACATGAATAATTTACGTAATGTTCATACGAATCTTCAACAGAGTGAAAACATCACTCTACTAAACAACAAATGAGATTCAACTTTAGATTTCAAAAAAGGTAAAACACATTATGTAATAATCTACTAGAGAACGAATAAATTCAACATTTTTACTTCCTTAATGTTGAAAGCACCGTTTAGTTTGCAACAAATGCGTTAGTAGGGTCAATCCATAATAAGTAATTAATTTAAAAATAATGATATTCATATTCAACGAGTGCCGTAGTCATATTACGAGATATAATTTTCATAATTTAAAAAGAAAAATGTTATTCATAGTTAGCTACTACGATAGTCATCTTACATGACAATTTTTTATTTGAGTCATTAATTTATTATTGAGACAACATAATGAGCAATGTTAATTTATAGTCTGTGACTGCAGTAATTATTTTTGTTATAACTTGTTATTTGAAATATTAGTTTCTTGTAATTATGTTGGAATAATGTTATTCATGGCCAATGACTACAATAGTCATTTTATGTAATAACTTGTTATTTGGGGTACTAATTTGTTATTTGAAACAATAGCAGCTTGTTTGGGAGCGATTTTTTGCTCTAAAAATTGATTTTTTGACTGTCATTTCACTATTTCAGTCGTCATATTTGACTTCTTCTCTCGCAGGAGGACCCCACCTTTCTCATAGCGGCCAAAAAATCAATTCTCAAAATCACTCCCAAACAGGCTCTAGATTTACAAGAAACTAATGCTTAAGTAACAAACTGTCACATAAGATGATTACTATAGTCGCTTATGAATAGAACGATCGCACTGTCATACATAATGCAATTATCAAATGAAAAGCCAACACCTTATTGGGTGGTCCACCCCCATCCAATGAAGTAAGGCTAGCTCGAGATCTGATTTTTTTTTCCTCTTTCTACCTCAAGTACTAAGGTGGTCTCATCTCATTGAACGAGGATGGACAACTCGATAAGATGATGACTTCTTATTCAATGATCGCATCACATAGTGCGGTGCAATCGTTCTACCAAAATTTTTGTCACTCATTAATTTATTCCAGTTGATTTTTGGGTACAAATGGAATTAACTATTTTTGTACCTAACGTTCTGATCAGGAGTGTGAGGGAATTAGATATTATAAAATTTGAAACATATGCCACGCGTCTAGTTAATTGGAGAACAATGCCCTGAAGCGCGGTCCTTGATTGGAACCTCTCACCGAAATCATTCACACTCTGCTTTCCGCAAGGTACTGAATACCTTTTCAGAATGCTGGAGACGTGTTACATTCCTTATTGGTAGATAGAAAATTAACCAATCAAAATTCTCCGTGTAATTTGATACGCTGCTTTAATGCCTGTCCCACCTGATCTTTACCCAGCAATCAACGGTCGTCACTATGCAATGGATGCCTTAGATGCGCAGCTTAACATCGTCGGATATCTGTGTCCCTGGTTCGAAGGGAATAAATTTAAAATTTTAATATAAATCAAAGTTAACATATTTTATTAATTTTTTTCAAAATATATTGAAAATTTGATTTTAGCCCTTCCCAAAATAAGGCTATATGTGTTACTTCAGGATCTAGCTCCTATTTGGTGCAAATTAAAATTAAATTTTTAATAAATTTTGATAAAAAAATATTAAATTTAATAGGAAAATTTAATTTGATTTTAATTTAAATCAAACATGAGCTTAATATAGCATCAGAATTCAAAGATTTCAAAGGAGCAAGCAATTATATCATTAGATTGACATTCTCATACGAATGGTAAGAAGAGTGGACAAGCAATTTAATCCGTTTAAGTCAACTATTCGACCTCAGTCATTGTTTGATTTTGATTTTTTCAAAATCTCAATCGTACATTCTTTCAATATATAGGGGGTGTTGTCCCCGGGGCATAGCCTAGTGACGCAAAGAACAGGAGTGAAGTTATCTCACGCCTTACTGGCAGCCGCAATGTGGAAGTTTGATTCCTGAGACATGGAATTGGACTCCTTGTAGGCGCAATATATAGCCAACTCTTGTTCCCTGACTTGTTGGGGCACATCCCGCAATTTACCTCCCTCATAGAACTCTAAGAGCGGGAAGGTGGGGGCCTTCAAGGTTGAGGTTTAACCTTTAATATATAATTTTACGTGCGGACTCATTTTTGTTCTAATTTTTAATCAAACGTTCTACAAAAACTCACTTTTTGAAAAATCATTCTAAAATAATCAAAGCCAAACAATGACTAAGATCAATATTTAAAGTTTTAAACCAGCCAACGACAGCACGTGAAAGGGTAAAATGTTAGGTCGCTTACATGAATGCTAATGTTAACTTTTTAAAACAGAGTCCAACTTAATAATTATGGTTAGGCGCCTCTGGTTATATATTCAACCTTAGAAAGATAATATTTGGCAGAAAGAGAGCTGGTTGAGAGGGATGGATGGTGCAATGGACTGGCTCTCTCCACTACGCACCGGAGCCGAAGGGGCGCATGATAAGACGATAATCAACCGGATTATGCTCAAGTTCCGGCCGATCGCTCCGAAGCCGGTGGACGAAGGTTCAGTTTCCGGCACAAATCCAGGGGTGAAGAAGTTTGAGGCTGGAACGAAGAGAAAAAGTAGGAGAAAGTACGTTAGGATTAAGAGGAATAATAAGAAGTGCAGTAGCAAGTTGATTGATGGTAAAGAAAGAAAAAAAATGGAGGTTGAAGGAGAGATTGTAAATCTAGGGTTACAGTCTCAGATTGCAACTGGATCTATGAAAACTCTTGATTTTTCGGTGCAGCGGAAACCGATGTTGATGAACTTCAATAATCCGGAGAATAGCAGCAAATACGCTGCCGTTTCTTTGCCGGATCAGTCAGATCGGACGTCGGTGGCGCCGCCTGGGAGAGTGGTAGAGTCGTGGGTGACGATAGACAAAATGACAAATATGTGGGTGGATGGAGGAGGGTTAGGAGGTTCGGACATGGAGAAGATGAAGAGTCTAGAAGTGGACACGTGTCCTAGTCTGATATCAGACAGTTTCGATAAGGTACGTTGGGTGAATCTCGCTTACCGGAGGATGGTGGATCCGCTGGACGAGGAAGAGCCGGCGGCGGAGATAACGGTGTGGCTGGTGGTTAAGGATAAAATCGCCGTACATTGGCCTGCATTTGCATGCACAGTTAGGGTGGTGTACCGACAGCCACGGGGTAAGGAGAAGCACTTCGAAACGATGCCGTGTGACGTTTGGAAGATGGATTTTGGGGGATTTGCATGGAGGCTCGATTCCAAAGCTGCGCTTCGGTTAGGAAGATGAAGCTGCTTAATTTCCAAAATTAAGGTATTAATATATAATTAATTCCTAAAGAAGGGAAATTATATATATAATATATATTAGCAGGTAATAATAAATTAACCGTGGATGCATGTTGAAAATCTAATTAATTCAACATGTACATATGCATTTATAATGATTTTTAATTATTTATCATACATATGAGTCTAAGCAATGGCATGAAATGCAAATGTAATGATTGCGTGAAACGTCAGAATTTATATATAAAGAAAATGTTTGAATCGTACAATTATAATAAACTTTGTTTGATTTTTTTTTTTTCAAAGTATATTTTTCTCTCTATTTTTTTCAATTACACTTTTTTTAATAAAATAATATTACTAATAAATATAAAAAAAAAATTCTTATATTTTACCTACACATTTTTCATCAATCTAATATTTCAAAATGAGTTATTAATCTTTTAATCGAGCTCAAACAGGATAATAATCGGCATTTCATTTTGTGATTATTGATCTTTCTCTTTGTTAATTATAGTTTTTTTTTTTTTTGCCCTAAAGACGTAATTAATTTTTTTAAACATTAAAGATTTAAATTTGTGAATCTTTAGTTTTATAAGTTCATCACGTGTGTTAATAATTGACTTGACTTCAAAACTAAAATATCAAGAACATTGAATTGCTGATCTTATTTATAAACTCATTGGAACACATATAGAATCCATACTATTCCATATGATATGCATATGCATGCATGCACAGTGTGTTCGGCTAAGCTTTAACAAAGTAAAAAAGAAAAGGAAAAAAAAAATAGTTTTTTCCAAATATATTTCAATATATATGTAGCTCTTTTTCATTATAATTTTTAATTTTGAAAATTTCTTATTTTGAAAGTAATAATTGACTTATTGAGAAAGAATTATCTTATTATGGTGTTCATACTCTCATCTCAAAAAATAACAATAATCTATATAGATAACCTTTATTTTCATGATCTAACATTGTTGAATTATTGAAGATGATTGTTTGAGTAGTTGATGTTCTCTACTTTAAGATACTCCAATGATCTTATTATTTATTTATTTATTTATTTTTCATAGTGAAGAAGAACTTTATTTATTTATTTATTTTTGTTGGGTAGTGTATGTGGGAAAATATAACACATCTATTATTTGTAGGAATTGATATTGTTCACTTGTAAAGAAGTTTTCCGTACATATGATGATGAAGCATCTTGAGTTGGTAGCGTAAAAATAGATATTCAGTCATCAACCCTCTACTTCCTATATATTTATTATTTACTTTAAAATTTCTTCATGTTTGGGAATTTGTATAGTACAAATTTTGTTGTACTGAAATGGAAATTTGTGACGTTTGTGTCTAAATATTTATTGAAATTGTCGAGTTGGAAGAATTTAATAAACTATGTCCCTATTTTATGGGAATTAAAATTAAATTTTTAGTAAATTTTGAAAGTAAAAAATTTGATGAAATGTATGGTTCAAAAGTTGTGAATTTTATAAAATATGTTGTTAAAATTAATTATTGATTTTGATGTACATCGAAATCTAAATTTTAATTCTTGTCAAATAGATGCTAAATATACAAAGGATCGTGCTACACGTACATAATGATTTACCTAACTGTTTACATCCTACTCACATCATCAAGGTGGGGACCACGACTCGACATTATTAAATACACGCGGGGCCCGCGTGTTTGTGAGATGGGGGTAAACGCTTCGGTAAACCCCCCTCGATACAAAGAGATTAATCCATATACAAAAGAGAATAAAAAGAATGGAAAAGTAAAATCTCCTTATCCCACTCTCATCCACCCTAGCAACTCACTTCAACTCGCACTACCCTAGCCCGCTCTGCTCCATTTTCTCCAACCCCTGGTTTCACAACCCCAACTAACTCACCCTCGTGGCGCATCTTGATTTTCCTATCCGCTCGATCCCAACACTCCTCGTAGCACCGATCGCTAATCTTTTCTTCACTCTCTTTTTCTTCCTTTTTCAGTATTTTATTTTATTTGAAGTACAATAATACTAATCTTTTTGACAAAACTAAAATAAAATAAAATATCAATGTACGATTTGCATCATCAAAAACTACTTGCAACATGAAAATTCAAAGATCAAAATAGCTTGATTTTAACGGTTGAAGTTCAACTTCGTGCAATTTTGTCAATTTAAATTAGGTCATTGTTTGATTTTAAGTATATAGTGTTTAAATTTCACAACTTTTCATCTTAACATTTCATCAGCTCCTATTAAAATTTATTAAAAATTTGATTATAATCTCTATCAGATATGACTAAATTTGTACGTAATATAGTGAGATATGCAAGAGTATGGATTGAATTATGTTACTTGTACAATTTTAATTGATAATTTCACATTTGACGGCATCACATTTATTTATTTTAAAAATTGTTTTTTAAATGAACGGTCAAATTTTGAAACTACCAAAATTATCAACAATAAATTTTAATAAAGATTGTACAACTGGCATAATTGGCATGGACCAACAGTACAAGGGTGTCAGAAACTAAAATGTGGTGGTTTGTGACAATTTCGCCTTCGATTAATTGGCAACTAATCATTTTTTTTTTTTTGAGAAAATGAGTTTTAAAATAGTGATTTTTTAAAGAATGTGCGGATAGAAAGTAAGAAATTTTTTTATTTTATGTACACAATATTTTATTGTGAAAATACGTAATTAATGAATATAAAAAAAAATTGTTACAATGATATGCTCAATAATAGAATCGATAATAGAGAGGACACATGTCAATGTATGATTAAACAATTTAAAAAATAAAAACAAAAAAATAATACACTAAATCTCGTCCTATAATATCATCCCACCCTCACAGCAATCTTTGTCCAAGTACAAAAAAAATAAAATTTGAAAAAATAATTATCAAAGAGGGCTAGGGATGGCAGTGGGGCGGGTTCGAGGAGAGGGCGTGACCCGAACCGCCTCAAACGGGGCGGGGGCGGGGTGAGGCCACGCCCCATTTGTCGCCCCGATTTTTTTAAATTTTAAATTATGTTATTATTAGAGAATAAAATATAAATTCAAAATTTTAAAATTCAAAGTTTACTTGAAGTAAATAATGTTAAAAATAAAACAATTTCAAATAAAATTACGTTTTAACTAAATTTTATTTCTTTTGTAATTAATTAAAATTTTACATTTGTATTTTATTATCTAATAATAATAATATAACTTGAAATTTTAAAAATGTATATAAAAAAAATTCACATGGCGGGGTCGGGGCGGCCAACCCACCGGGACAGATTTTTTTACCCCATTCGGGTGGGACTCCGTCGAGAAGGGATGGGACATATTTTTTTGCCATCACTAAAGAGGGCTAAGTAATGATAAGATGGGTCATCATATTTGTACTGAACGCCCATGATTGATCACATTTATATATTTTTGTGTTCTCCACCCATCACGCAATTCCATAAACTCTGAACCCCACTCGCATGCCCAATTCGTGGAGAAAACTATAATCAATATGGTAATATTGTTTATTAGACTAAGATCATTTCTAGCTCGCACCGAAAAATTTACACCAAATTAAAAATTATTTTCAACCCATTATGCTAAAAATTGTACCAAATGAATAGTGTTTAATCATTTTTTCATTCTTAATAATTTATTTATATGAAAAATTATTTATTTATCTAATCTACTACTTCATAAATTATAAAATAGATAATAATGTTTCGTTAACGAAAATGTTAAATTCATTAATAAATTTAATGAATATAGTACAATTAATAGAAAAATCACAACTAAGAAAATATTGAATAATAATAATAACAACAACAACAATAATAATAATCATACTATTAATAATTATAATTGTAATAATAATTAATTAAAAATTAAATTTGTTGTATAACAAGAAAGTGACACAAATATCCTTAACAAGAGTTGGTGCAAAATGGAAAAGAGGGCCAAAAATAACATAAGCCATTTTGGTGCAAATTTGGTGATGGGTTGGAGGGAAATTATATCAAACATTTAGTGTAAAATGGGGATTTGATGTAAGGATTGGAGTTACCTAAAAGCTATGAATTTCACGTGTTAATGCCACGGACAAATGACATTAGACCATTCGAAGAACTAAAGAAATTTAGTTGACTGATTAAACAGAAACGATTTGTCCCTGTTTATTCATCATTATTGGAAAATTCTTTTTTTTTTACATACTAATTTTCAATCGCACATACACACAATAAAAACACTCTCAAAACTTTTTTTTTCCCTATTTTTAACCACGTGTTTTCTTAAAAATTACTAACATGATACCATTTAATTAATGGTTGTCAGCCAGGGTGAAAAGTAAAATTCTGACAATCATTCTAAAACAAAACAAATTTTAATAATTAACATAAAACTTCCTTGTAACTTGAGTGATCATTAAGGTTTTTAACCCAAATAACAAATATTTGATATCTAACAAAAAATCATTAATCATATCATACTAATGAATTATTATTATTATTATTATTATTATTATTATTATTATTATTATTATTATTATTATTATTTTGAAACATTGGATGACGATAGGCTTGAGCCATTAATATACTAAGTTTGTGTCAATTTCGAAAGAGAATCAATCAGAAAGAGTATCTGATTTCTGATGACGGCTGAACAACAAAATTATCAAGTTGCAAAATCGAATCGAAAACCTATTTTTTGAAACCATTGGTTTAGGTCAACGTGGATCCATCAACTTTTTTATTTTGAATCGAAATCAAATCGCTTCAAAATAGTTTGGTTTAAATTTCAATATTTACAAATCGTTAACAAATTTTTTTTTGAAAATAAATGAATTTAAACTTTTTATCTAACTCGGTTAAAATTAAACACATCCTAATTAAAAAGATACATCTATATTAGCATATCCAGTTAAACTCAATACCTAATAGACAATTATCCATTCCAATTAATTAATTAAATTGTAACACCCACAATCATCACAAATGTGAATGCAAAACCTGAAATTGGATGAAATTTTGAATAACTGATGCTAAACCATATTTATCAACCGTTTGTTATAGTTGAATAAACAATTAAATCTAGATTTTAATTCAATCTCACATACTTTTTCCTTTTATTAATAATTTTCTCAAATTTCGGCTAAATTTTCAGATGAGTTTATTCAATTTTTTCCTATATTTTGGTTATTATTTTTCTCTATTTTATTGATATTTATGTTGTTCACCCAATTTTAGACCATATGCCCACAAGCCTTTGCAATGTTTTGGGTTAACTATGTGAACCGTAAGTGAGCTTTACTCTATATATCAAAATCATACGTAAATTCATCTTCATATCATGAAGTCACAAGTTTGTATCGTATTCATATATAATGGGCTTACTTGGCATGATTTGTGCCATACTTTTACTTCTCAAAAAATAGTTTCAAGAGAGCTAATTTTATTTTTATTTGGATGCTGATTTTTAAAAGAGCTTTCAATACGGAAGTATTTTAGAAAAAGTTACATGGGCCAACTTTTTCTAAAACTTATTCTAATTGAAAGAAGGAAACACCACATAAATTCTCCATTTAAAAATCACATTTCAAAAGTAACAAACTGCTAAAAATCCTTCAAAAATAAGGTGATAATTAAATTTATTAAATATTAAATTAAAATATAATATAATTAATCTACTTACCCCACTTCACCTCCAACCTACCCACCCATCACACCAAATCCTTTTCTTTCTCTCTCCACCCCATCTCACCCCACTTCCGGTGATGGCTCAAGCAACAATTCAAACGACCTCTCTGGTGAATATTTCGACGACCTTCCGGCGACTGCTCTGGCGATGGCTCCGACAACAATTTCGACGATCGTTTCGATGGCTATTCTGGTGATCATTCATGTTTTCGTCGATTACCTTTTTTCTTTTTTCTTCTTTTTTGGCAATGATTTGTACACATTGTGATCTTTGACCAGTTCTATTGAATTTGTGACCTAATCAGGTGGGATGAATATGCATATGATCAAATTCAAAATTAAAAAAATAAAGTTTGAAATTCCAAAAATCAAATACGATTAAAATTTTAGTTATGAAATAATTAATCAAAAAAACATTTTTGTAATTAAATATTTTAATTTCAGAAATCCTTTTCTTTTTTTTCTGGGCAATAACCTGTGATCTGTATACATTGTGACATATAAAATATGATTTTCAACCTATGATTTGTTAACCGTGACTCGTAACATAAAATGTAACATATAAATTTGATCCGTGATTTCTACAAAATGACATGTGACCTGTAAATATTGATCTGTGACCCCTTTATACTGACTATGAACTTGTGAACTCAAACATGTGAACAGTGAACTGTGATCTTAACGGCGAATTATGACCAGTGACGAATGAG